ACCAGCATGACATTTTAGGATTTTTATAAGGATTGTAACTCTCATAGATTTGACCTTTTTATTTTCACAGAGGTTTGGACCCTGTCAAACTTACATTTAGGCCCACCAATACACCTTTCTATGGAAGCCCATTTCTGCCACATAAGAATACAATGTATGCTTTGGTAAATCATAATTATTATGAGAAAAAAAAGCCAGAAATTTGACATAAAAAATGAATAATCATAATTGACACAAGTCAAAATTGGCATGCTAAGTTATAATTATGAGATACGTCTTAATTATGACTTAAAAGTTGTAGTTATGAAATAAAAAGTCAAAATGATGACATACTAAGTTATAATTATGACAAAAACATATATAATTAAAAGTCGAAATTGACAAAGTTATATTTATGAGATAAAGTCTCATGACAGAAGTTACAGTTATGAAATAAAAAGTCAAAATAATGACATACTAAGTCATTTATGAGATAAAAAGTCATAATTATGACATTTATATGAAAACTCATAATTGACGAGTCAAAATCAACATTTATAATTATGAGATAAAATTCTTAATTGTGACAAAATTTATAATTATGATATAAAAACTCAATATAATATTTATGAGATAAAAGTCATACTGATGAAAAAGACATGAACATTGTGACATATTAAGTCATAATTATGACATACCGGTAAAAAAGTCACAATTATAATAGAGATAAAAAGTCTTAATTGTGTTATATGATTTATGTTATGAAATAACTCAATGACATACAAAGGCATATATAAATATAAATCGAAATTATGGCAGTCATATTTATGAGATGAAAAATCGAAATGGATATTAAGTCATAATTATTAAATAAATTCAAAGTTGAGTCATTTTATATGATAAAAACCTTTGTGACAAAATCTTTGTCATAAGTATGACTTTTAACTCATAATTTCGACTTTTTATGTCATATAATCATAATCATTATGGTTTGCCAAAGCATGATTTTGTTTCTTATGTGGATGTCTTCAACATTTTAAGTAACGTAAATTAACAATAATTAATGTATTACGAAAAAACATGAATTAACAATGAGCAATAGCATTTTTTTAAATGATATAATAGTGCAACACATAATGAATGATTAAAATGTAGTATAAGGAATTCAATTGTATATTGTATTATTTTATGTGTTTTATTATTGTAATGAATATGGCCTTTGGTGCTGATATGACAATGAAAAATGTAGAAAATGAATGCATGAATGAATGCTTTATTTTGAAGTGTGAAACTTCGTCAAGCTGTCAAACCTATGATGTTTTATTAACAAAGTTCAGGAGGAGCATGTTCAGATAATTAACCTAATTAACACAAGAGGAGCACAATCAGTAATCAACCCAAATAACAAGATAAGAGGTGCATATATAGACACAGCAGACTAACCTCCAGCATCCCTCCACCACCCCATCTCCGCACTTTGGTTCAGGCCAAAATTCTGAGTTCGGAGCCCTCCCCTCGGACAGCATGCCAAATATGCATAACCTTTTCTCTGTTTATTATATCTAAGTGTGAACTTGTGAATTAGCTATTATTCATGTCATGATGGAAGCCGCAAATAACGTGAGGACATTTACTGGGCTCAACCCAACTGACAAGATAAGAGGTGTGTATATATATATACAGAAGACTTACTGTACCTCTGTTCCTTGACTTACAACTATTTTGAGCTCAGAGCCCTCGGACAGCACGCCAAATACGCATAACCTCTACTCTGTTTATTACATGTAAGTGTGAACTCGTGAAACAGCATGTATTTCTCTGATCTGCTGTTGTTGATGCACAGGAGGAGCAGGCGAATGTGAATCTGGCCAAGTACAGGAAGACAGTTCATGAGCTGGACGACGCAGAAGAGCGGGCCGACATCGCAGAGTCTGCGCTCACCAAGATCAGGACCAAGAACAGAGGCAGCTTCGGCAAAGGCTACTCATCAGTGAGTGTCTGTCAGGACAGATGTTACACCATCCGTCTCCAGCAGGAGTCAGTAACACTCTGCTCGTGTGTGTGTGTGTGTGTGTGTGTTTGACGCAGGGTTACAGCACTCCCTATCCCGGCCTGGTGAGGTCCCCCAGCTCTGTGGGGTCAGAGGGCAGAGGTGAGAAGGTCACTGATGACGACGAGTCCATCAGCTCTCTCATTCCCACATACTTGAATTCAATCAAGAAACTCATGATCGATTAGAATCAGAGATTTTCCAGTCTTCTGCATTCATCATTTTTGTCTTAAAAAATAACTGTAAACATATAAATCTTTTGATTACAACAAGTATCTATGTTCAGTATTATATCTGGTATCATCGGCATGACTTTACTATCAAGAAACGAAAAGAAAAAAAAACTGTAATTTAGATTACACCTTTGTGCTAGTTTGATTTGGTAAAGATTTGAGTGTTTCGTTTATTTTGTAATGTAGTCCAAGGAATAGTTCACCCCACAAATGAATGTATTCACCCTCAGGCCATGCATCAGATTTGGAGAAATGTATTATTGCATCACTTGCTCACCAATGAATCCTCTGCAGTGAATGGGTGCCGTCAGAATGAGAGTCCAAACAGCTGATAAAAACATCACAAAAGCTGTGTTTGTAAGAAACAAATCCATCAAGACGTTTTTAAATAAAATACAAGCCCATAATCCATAATAGCGCTTCCTGCAGTGAAAAAATCCATCTCCTGTTGTCTCTCACATCAAAATCTACCCACATATTTGTTTAGGGCTGTTTTTGAGATTTCTCTCCTGATTCAGACCACTTTTTTAACTGATGGACTGGAGTTGTCTGGATTATTGTGATGTTTTAATCAGCTGTTTGGACTCTCGTTCTGACGGCACCCATTCACTGCAGAGGATCCATTGCTGAGCAAGTGATGCAATGCTACATTTCTCCAAATCTGATGAAGAAACAAACTCATCTACATCTTGGATGACCTGAGGGTGCGCACATTTCCGACATACTCCTTTTAAATGAGGACAGCTTTAGTTATACATAGTCAAATTAGAAATGCATTGAATGGACATTCATTCAGTATATATTATTCCCTTGCTCCGTAGTGTCATGTTTGCATTAATTTTGTATTTATTGATGACAGCTACATAAATAGTGCAAACGAATAAATCCTATTTAGTTAAACATTATTTTATGCCATTTATATTACAGAAAACATAATAAATGGATTATATTCAGTAGTTATTCTTCATTTACATCGTTGTATAACAGGGAGAGAATGAATTATTTGAACATGTACATCAGTAATACAGATGCGTTAAATGCATAAGCTGGTACTGTCAGAAAAAAAAAACAATGAAATCCAGTTTAAACATCTTGATGATCATTTAGGAAAAGAGTTAATTGATTTCATATAAAAATAAGCATTGTGCAGAATCATTTACATATATTATTTGTAGCTCTCTCACTATAGAGTAAATGGTTGGGGGAAACAATATTGGGCCCAAATAATGACTGTTTGAGACTTCTGTATATTTGAACAAAAGAGGGTAAATAAAACATCTTTACACATGTTTGTGTTAATTTCTTAATTGAGTATGAAGTGATGTAAACCCTGAGTCCATGACGGCAGTGTGAGACTGTGAGCAGCTGTATTCATGTACAATATAATACCAGATCTGTTATGTTTATGATTTTGCAATTGAGTTGTATAATATCCTGCGTAAGCTGAAATCAACACTGACCCTCTTTACTTGCTGATCCATGTTTCTGGTCTTACATGATTCATACATGGTATTCCAAAGGACAAAAGTGTAATATTTTCAAAATGTAATGGGCTTCTCCACCTGAATCAGATTTCCTTTCGGTGTTCATTTTGGTAAGTAACTCCCATTTCTTTTTATAATTCCTGACATTTGCATTTCTTTTTCTCATTGAATATCCTAATTTTACTCAGAAATAAATAACATTACGTAGTTAAATGGGTTCATGTTGACTTTAAAAGACAGTTCACCCAAAACTGAAAATTCTGTCATTGTTTATAACCCTCAAGCTGTTCCAAAGAAGAGTTTCTTCTGTTGTACATAAAAACAGTTGCTGGTATGGAACTAAATATGGAACTAAAAATATGGAAATAAACAACTGTTTAGTTTCATATTTTTTTTCCATATTATGGAAGTCAATGGCTACCGTCAACTGTTTAGTTTCCTTTTTTTTTTTCTCCATACTATGGAAGTCAATAGCTACCATCGACTGTTTAGTTCCATGTTTTTTCCCCCATACTTAGAAGTCAATGGCTACCGTCAACTGTTTGGTTTCATTTTTTTCTTCTCCATACTATGGAAGTCAATGGCTACCATCAACTGTTTAGTTCCATGTTTTTTCCCCCATACTTAAAAGTCAATGGCTACTGTCAACTTGTTTCATTTTTTTCTCCCTTTTATGGAAGTCAATGGCTACCATCAACTGTTTAGTTCCATATTTTTTCCCCCATATTTAAAAGTCAATGGCTACCATCAACTGTTTAGTTTCATTTTTTTTCCTCCATACTATGTAAGTCAATGGCTACCATCAACTGTTTAGTTCCATATTTTTTCCCCCATATTTAAAAGTCAATGGCTACCATCAACTGTTTAGTTCCATATTTTTTCCCCATACTTAGAAGTCAATGACTACCGTCAACTGTGTAGTTTCATTTTTTTTCTCCATACTATGGAAGTCAATGGCTACCATCAACTGTTTAGTTTCTTTTTTTCTCTCTCCATACTATGGAAGTCAATGGCTCCCATCAAATGTTTAGTTTCATTTTTTTTCTCCATACTATGGAAGTCAATGGCTACCGTCAACTGTTTAGTTTCTTTTTTTTCCCCTCCATACTATGGAAGTCAATGGCTACCGTCAACTGTTTAGTTTCTTTTTTTTCCCCTCCATACTATGGAAGTCAATGGCTACCGTCAACTGTTTGGTTACCAACATCCTTCAAAAGATCTTCTTTTCTGCTCAACAGAAGAAAGAAGAAACAAACCAGTTTGGAACCACATGAAAGTGAAGTAAATGATGACAAGAATGATCATTTTTGTGTGTACTGTCGCTTTAAGGCAAGCGAGAGCTTTGATTAGTCACAGAACTGAAATCAGTTGTAATAGTTGATGCAGCAGCAGCATTTACAGTATATATTAGTACTATTTCACATACATGAACTCGGTTCAATCAATGCTGAATCGTAATGGCATGATTGCATCAGTAGATACTGACAAAACACGTCAGTTCTCCCGAGTGAAATCCTGCAGATGTTCACACAGTCTCTGCCACACCTCGAGAGCTCTTTCAGTCAGATTCGTGGGAAGGTTATGGTATGTAACCTCAGCTCTCTCTCAACCTTCTGCTCGGTTTGAGTCATGATCGTTCTCCTGGTTTAGGCCTCAGAAGGGTTTTTGAGAGATCAAACCCATATTAGTTTCTCTTCAGCCAGCGCTGCGTTTCAGACGAGGAAACGAGGGCGAGTCTGATGCTCTCAGATGTCCATGTCCACCGGTCTCAGCTCGCCCGTCTTGTGTTCTTTGACCCACAGCTCTCGGTCTTTGGCGGGGTCCACGCTCCGCAAGAGTTTGTCCACCGGCTCTATGGTCTGGAGGTGAAACAGCAGGTTATCATTACTCATGATCTGCATCAGACTGTGCTGTATGAGTGAGTGTGGATGAGGCTGTTTAACTCACGCTTTGGTTGAACATGTCGGTCTCGTGTCGTAGCGTTGTGTACTGACACAGATGCTGTCTGATCATCTCCACACGCTCCACCTCCAGACGCTCCAGCTCCTGTCAGGAACAAGACGTATAGAGATTGTCTAGTTTATTTGAGTTTTTAAGAGAAAATGCTTTTGTCTTTAAATCAATGTTTTATTGCATGCTTTTCTTGCATCTGAGTTTCCCAGAATTTCTCTACTTTGTACTGTGTCCTACATCACACAAATTCTCCATTCTTGTACAAATTAATTTAGTAACAGATTAATAAATGCTTCAGAGATGAAAAACTAAAACTCATCATTGCAATCTGTCATTTGACTATATTAAGCAGTTAGAAGTGGCATTATCTGAAGAACTGGTGTCTGTGAAAGCTCGGTCAATCTCTCACCAGACTGCTGGTCACCATCTCCTCAAACCACTTGGACTGGGACTGATTGTAGAGATCAACACATCGCATCAGATCATCACCTGAAGATACAGATGCGGGACTCATACATCATCATGGCTCATGCTTTACATTTGAAATCATCAGCATGGGCTAATACATTTCCCAGGTTGAGAGGTTTGCACTGACCGGCCTGCGTGGATTTCCTGCGCGCTTTCTTGATGTCCTCCTCGATCTTACTGCTCAGTTTGATCTCCAGCTGCTGGGTTTTTAACTCCAGATCCTTCTGCCGGTCTGCAAGTGCTTTCCGTGCCTGATGAAGAACATGAGAATATGAGAAACGAGATGAGCATGATGTGTTTTGTTTTGGGTGTTCAGAAGCATCTGCTGTTGCATGTTGAGATCCAGATGCTGCTGAATAAATCTGTTCTCTCTGTACAGTGATGTGAACAATTAAGGAAAAGATGTATATTTACTAATTCTTTTCTGATTATAAATTAACTCTAATAATTAAAATCCTTATAGCAATAGCATATTAAAATCGAGACAATTAAAATCACTTGTTCTTTACATTACGCTCTTTCTTAAAGGGACGGTTCAACCTAAAATAAAAATGCTGCCAATTGACAAAGTCCAATTTGCAAAGACCCGCCCTCCTTAGTTACTGTTGCTATCCCCGACAAACAATGCCGCTCTCACACTACACGTCATGTTCTCACCAAGCGGCAACCTCCCCGTCTCTCTCGTGAAGCCAACACAGAAGTGACTAAAACTGCAATTCATCGACTGGCCGCTAGAGGCTGGCTCCAAAAGGGAGTCAGTCCCATAGACTCCCCATGTTAAAATGCCCAACTTTACAGCAGAAAAAAATATGTTTACAGCCTGGTTCAAAAAGTGGTTTTGGTCTATATAGCTAATTTTGCCCTTCATGACAACTGTGAGGGGGGTGAATTTTTTTATAACTCATCCATTTAAATTATATTAAGCCTTAAAGTTCTGCATAATTAAGGGCGTGGCCACTTAAATGACAGGTGGATTGCCGCTGTTGTCACCGCCGTCGAGCTAGGTGGGCGTGGTTTCAGCAACCAGCTCCCGCCTCTTTGCCCATTTTCGATTATCCGTGAGTGACGCGCGGTGACGTGCTGCCAAGATGGTGGCGGCCGGCTCCGCCCACTTTGAGCTTCAAAAACTCTCTTCAGAAACCAGCGGGTGACGTCATGGACACTACGTCCATGTTTTTATACAGTCTATGATTCTTACGCATATACAGCTCCCAATCGGGGCAAAGTTCACAGGATTTTGTCCACAGAATGATAAGAGCACACGTTTTAACATATCATTTTTTCATTTCACACTCAGTATTTTAACTTAAGCGCTGCAAGCCATGCATACAGCGCCGGACATGACAGGTTTTCTGGTATGCAAAACAAGTACTTTAAAGGAATTCCTTAGCTTATTGCCGTTACTGTGGCAACCAACAACAGCACCAGCTTAACCCTCCGCACATTTTTATATTTAGTTACATTGAAAAAGTTTCAATTCAGTCGATCTTTTTTACCCCGTTTTAACATGGTTTTCTATGGAGACCGGCCGTAGATGTCGGGCAAGCTTGCTGCGAACGGTCAATTACTTACATGCATGTCTTTCTATATTTGCACGTGTGCTTATATTCAAAGTTGGCATTGATGTGACTGATCACAAAACATGCGAGAACCAGCGCCGTTTTCTGTGTGAATGTGTAAATAATGACCGTTTGTATTGAGTGCGCTGTCCCTTTAAAATACGGCAAATTGTTTTTTTCCCTGTTGGCCAGATCAGTAAATACTCTATGAGAAGGTCACTGGTTTGAAGGGCGTGAGATTATAAATAGAAACCCAATGGGCTCCAGAGACGAAAAATGGTCCACTTCTTCAGAAAATATGCTGGACTTTTAATAATGCATGAGAAAAATCCCTGTAACTTTAGAAGATGCTAAATGTGAAGACTAAATACGGCCACATATTCATGACACATGAGATGAATCATGTTTTGCGGTCAGTACCTTCTCCACGGCAGAGTTTCGGCCGGTCAGCTGCTTCCTGAGATCCGCCATGTGATGGTCGAACTTCTTCATGTCCTTTTTGAAGTTTTCCCGGAATATCAGCAGAGGCTTTTCCACTTCACTCTGAAGCTGAAGCACATCAGAGACAGACCGAGTATTTTACTTTAGAAAGCTGCGAGAAACTAAAGCCAAAAGTGAAAAAGACCCTCCTACATCATGTCTTTTTATTGCTTCGGTGTTAGAGATGCATATACGTGTATATGTACAGTGTAACCTCTGCTCTCATATTCTTCAGAGAGCGGAACATCAGCACAGAGCACATTCCTCCAGACCAGCTGTGCGTTTCGACCGGCTCAGAATGAATCCTACAGGCTTTAAATGCAGTTCTGCATCTTTCTGTTGCAACATCTCACCTTGGAGGAGAACTTGAGATGAACTTCTGCTTCATCTGCCAGGCTTATCTTCAGCTGAGCCCAAGCTTCTCCAAGCGTGCTGAGAGAAGATGACAAGGGACAATATATTTAATAAAATATAAACATGATAAAATATGCATTAAATGTAAAATTGTATAAATATTATTACATTTATTAAATATATATATATATATATATATGAATAAATTTTTTTTT